CCATTTTTTATTAGTAAAAAATGCAGGGAAAAGAAAGGTGTGGAGTTTTGCTAGTTAATATAATTTTGATTATTTATGGAGATGTATAAATGTCAAGTAGATTGGTAATTTTACTTGTGGGAGAGCACATTAAGGGACAGTTATAAGAACTAAAGATTGGTGATTTCACTTGGGTTAATGGTTTTTTTTTTTTAAAGAGCAGAGGATATTAAAATAACTGTTTTTCAAGGCAAGGCATGCAATTCTTATATATTCATTTCATTAATAAAAGAATGAAGTTTCTTAATACACTTGAGGCAGTTTAGTTGCAAAATATAACCCTTAGATTTTTAATATTTTATTGTAAAATTGTGTATTTCTGACATAGAGTTGATCATGTTTTTAAAGGACCCATTAGTGGTGGAACTTTCAAGCCCTGGACCACTGACCTCAGCCTTGTTCCTGTTTCTTCACAGCATGAAGGAGACTGAAAAAGGACCACTTTCTCCTAAAGTTCTTTTTAATCAGCTTTGTCAGAAGTGGGTGCATCTACACTTTTAATATAAATAATCATGAGTTACAAAATGTATTCATCACTTGAGTAGTTTCACTCTCACTATAACTTTGCTATTATTGCCCACAGCATCAAGAGAAAGAACTAACATTTCTTAGTTGCAGCTCTGTGCTTTATAAAATTATATCTCTTAATCCTCTGAAGAAGTGATCATTTATCCCCATTCCACATATAAGGAATTAAGTAGCTCACCTATGGTCAGAGTGACAGAGCTAGGAGTCAAATAGAGGTCTGTCCTGACTCAGAAGCACATGGTATAATACCTTCAAGTAAGAAAATCGTAGAATTATAAAAATCTACAAAGTACTATAAAAGATAATCTAATCTCGCTACCTTATTTTTAAAGATGAGCTTTGAGGCAAATAGAATCTAAATGAATTTCTCAAGGCATTACAGTCCGTTTAAAAACAAAATCCTTATGTGCCTGGAAAAAAAACACATACCATAAAGGATCTAACTTTAATGCATTCATTTATTTCTTCATCTAAAAAGTTGAGAGCTTGCTTTGTATCAGGTACTTGCTAGAATTCAGGGGTACACAATGTATAATGTATTAAAAATGGGCTCTGTCCTCATGGAGCTCACAAACTAGTCCAATTCAGAATTACTGAAATATATAGAAGGAAAAATTCTTTAAATGTGAACTTGCATTTTTGTGTATCAACAGACTTTAAAATCTCATTTTAATTTAAACTAGTTATCTGTGCCATGATATTTTAAATGTAGTTCAAAATATAGATGGTTTAGTGTATGTTTCATTTGGCTGGCAAATGCTGTTTCTTCAAACCCTGAAGACCAAAAAACCTGTGAAAAAGTCTCAGAGACATGAGTGCCTCATAGAGTTAAAAAGTTTTTAGGGCATTATGTGCTTTAGAAATTTGTTTCT